AAAACAGTCCAAAAATTCATATGGAACAAGAAGAGACCCAGAATAGCAAAAGCAATTCTAGGTAACAGAGACATGGCAGGGGGTATCACAACCTCCAACTTGAAACTATACTACAAAGCTACTGTGATATATATTTCAACACTGTTATATAGGAAACATGTTAGCAGAGCTAGCTGTGGGTTACGTTTATAGGTGGAGTCTCTCTTTTACTTTTCCATACTTTCGAATTCTCTACAATAAACACAAATCTTTTCTTTTCCTCCCTCTTTTTTTTTTTTTTGGCAGTGATGGGCGAGGGCTAAGGCCTCATGCATGCTAGGGAAGTGTTCTACCACTGAGCCACACCCCAGCCACACAAATCCTTTCTGAATGGAAAAAAATTTGGAATTAAAAATTACATGGTGCCAGGTGTGGTGGTGCATGCCTATAACCCAGCACTCAGGAGGCTGAGGCAGGAGGATTGCAGCAAGTCTGAGACTAGCCTGGGCTACATAGTGAGTTTAAGGCCAGCCTGAACTACATATGGAGACCCTGTCTCAAAAAAACCCCAAAACACGGTATGAATTGAAGGAGGGTTAATCTGGATTTTGAGGCATCACATCAACAACTGACCTCTTGGGTTTGTCACTGTATGAAAATAAAATTACCTCTTCTGGCCTTAGCTTACTTGTCTATACAATGGGGCTGTAGTAAGAACCAGGGATGACATCTGTTGGGAGGGGCCAGAGCAGAGGAAATGGAGGCTCTTCTCACTGAAGGAGACATCTTGGAAGGCAGAGCCTGCTGCCTGAACCCCATGCAGGCCCCCAGAGTCCCAGGCCAGGCTCCCAGTCCAGAGCAGCGGGCACCCTGGCTTACCTTGCCAGGTTCTGCTTCATCAGTCATGACGCCGGTCATGATGACAGCCTCATCCAGGGAGTAGAGCAGCCCTTCCACAAAGTGGTTCTCCCGCCGCTGGGACTCCTGGGTGAATTTGTTACAGATGGCTTCCAGGCCCCGGACTGGTTCAAACTGAAGCTTGACATACTTCTTGGCGGGGATGATGCGGATCTCAGCAGCCACCAGGAATCCCAAGGTCCCGCAGGACCAGGGCACAGCATAGAACAGGTCTGAGTTCTCGGACTGTGACACAGAATGGACACTTGCTGAGAACCTGGACCATGCCACAAGGAGGCATTCCTGTTGGTACTACCTGGTACAAATCTGAGCAAGGAACTCTACAGACTGCACTCAGCGCCCTCAGCAACTGCATTACACCCTCTGACAGTTAAGGGAAGTGTGTGTCCAGGAGGTGACTCACCTTGCCCGGGACTTCCAGGGCGGGCTTCCCAGACTCACTGAGGTCACCAACTCCATCCAGGTGCTCCTTCCACAGCACCTCCTCCAGGGCCACACATGTCTCTAATGTCCTTCTTTTTCCATTCTCAAGAGACACACCACTGACCTTTCTTTTGACCATTCTAATTCAGATTCTTGATTCTAGAAAAGCTTCTCTCAAAAACAGTCCAGCATGTCTTGGCTTTGCCAGTGGGCCAGCCCTGTGTGGCCTCTACCAACCCTGAATGCCCTTCGTGTAGGTATGGATGGGATGGTGGGGCTGGGAGATGGGCAGGCAGCTCTGTAGCAGGCCAGAAGCTTCTGGAATAGCACCCCGGCCCAAATGATCTCCCACATGCCTGTCTGTCCAGATCATGGCAGCCAATCAAAATCAGACACCCAGTGAGTGCTTGGCTCTGCATGCGGCACCTCCTCATCCTCCTGATCATGTGTTCATCAGAGAAGAAATGGGCCTCAGAGAAGGGAGGTCACCATAAATGTGTGTCTCCTGGCTCTGCTGGCAGTAAACAGGTTTGAAGGCAGTGCCTGGGCAAGTGTTCAGGAAATCGTGCTGAGCTGATGAGAAGCCGACTAAGGTAGATCTGTCCAAGGCCAGCGCTCCCAACAGGACCCCTTTCCCTGGACTCTCACCTCTGTGCAGCCCGCAGCCTTGGGGGCTCTCTGAAATATCCACTTCAAAAGCAGCGGATGTCCCTCCAGTCCGGGGCCCCTGACATAACACTAGAACAGGCCTTCTTTACAATTCCAATTCTGTCCCACTCCTTAAGAAAAATGACTCACATATCTGTGTCCTACTTTGGATGGCAGAATGACCTTTGCCCAAAGCAGCCCCCATGGTTTGGGTTAGCCTCACAGCATGTGACACAAGGGTGTGACGCGCGGCCTGACCCACTCTGGAGAGGCAGCCTGGGGTAACGAACGGCTGAGGGCAAGGATCTCGGCATCTGTTGTGTGAGTTTGAGTCCCAGTTGTAGGATTTACTATCTGTGTGACCTAGGCCAAGATTATGAACCTCTCTGTGCTCTTTAGTTTCCTACCTGTGATGGGAGATAATAACAGCACTTACTCACAGGTTAGGAACTCCTTAACTATATAAAGAATTCACAACAGAGCCTAGGCACTCAGAAGGGGTACACAGCTTCTGCCAGTACTACGGACACAGACTGGGTCCATCTGACATGCAGTCCCTTGGGGAGCCCAGAGCAGGCTGGTGTGGCTGCCCCCATCCTTCAACTCACCGGGGTGCACCGCACGAAGCTGCCATCGGCCAGGACCAGCTCGTAGGCGGTGCAGATGTGCTGGAACAGGCCGTACTTGTGGGATGATGACTCAATGCCTGTGCCCATGATCAAGCCCCCTGCAGGGACACATGTGTCAGCCTGGCAGAGCTGTGATGGGCAGGGCGGGGGTGGGGTGGGGGGAGAAATGGGGCTGTTAGCTTGGCACAGATTCCCATCTCTGTCGATTTGGCAAGCAGAAGTGAGAAGGATGGGCTCAACCGCAGCTGAGGGCCTCAAAAAGGCCCCTCCAGGGCACACACACCCCCATCTCCGGAGGTTCTACTAAGAAACCCATGTGCGTTCGATTTCAGGGCACTTCCATGACAAGCAGGGGTGCTGTCAGGGCTGGGAACCCTGACCCATGGGAATAGTTCAAAGGAGGGAGGGTGCTTCCTGTGAGCCCTGTGGGAAGAGAAGGGCAACCAGACTTAATTCTGTGTGTCCCACAGGTAGGAACGGAAGAGGGGACGTAAGTCACAGGGAAGTGGATCTGAGCTGGGAACTGAAAAGTGCCTGATAACTTGAGCTGCTCAGAGTGGCGGGCAGTGAGGCCTTGTCACTGGCGCTAGCGAAGTGCAGCAGGGTGACTTGTCCCAGAAGGGAGAATGGCTGTTTCTGGACCAGACGGAAGGTGGCCAAGTCCCCTCCGCCCTGACCCTGGGACCATCTGACTCCTCTTGCCCTTGAATGTGAGTCCTCACCCACTGTGAGGTCGTCGAGCTCAGGCAGCACAGGCAGTGTCCAGCCAATGGAGGTCAGCAGGGCGGTCACCTGACCCATGGACACCAAGGGCTCCACGCGGACAATCTGCAGACATGAGAGAAGAGACCCAGGTCTTGAGGTGGTGGCCAGGCCTGCCGGGTCCCTGCACACAGGTGTCATTCCAATCTCGGAGCACAGGTATTCCTGCAGCCATTACCAGCTCCTGCTAGGACGATACACTGCCTTTACTGACTCTAGCACTGGGTTAGTGAGGGTTGAATTAAATCCTTTCTTTCTTTTTTTTTTTTTTGAGACAAGGTCTTGCTTTATAGTTCAGGCTGACCTTGCGCTCACTATGTAGTCCAAGCTGGCCTCGAACTGGTGGCAATCCTCCTGCCTCAAACTGAGTGCTGGGATTGCAGGCGTGTGCCACCATGTCCGGCTCAAATCCTTTAAAATACCTAAAAATAAATGCTATATTTTTTTCTAGATTACAAGAGAAATACTCATTTGAAAAACTCAGCAAAAATAAGAAAACAAAAATCCATCTTATTTCCTTAGAATTACTGATGTTAATGGAGTACATTTATTTTTTTCCATAACATGTCTGTATATCTTCATTTCTAATTTGTACTACAAACACACATATGTACAGTGTCATCCTCCCTTTTAAAAAAAGCACTGTGACCATCATCCCTTCTCATTTACTTTCTTATAAAATGTGATTTGTCATGGCATAATTCGCCATCAAGTGGAATTCTGCTTCCAGCTGAGACGGAGCAACCAGGACCAGATTTACCCTACTGTCTGAAAATACACACACTCCCCAAACCAACCAACCACAAAAACCCAGACAAAAAACACAAGAAACAAGAGTTTTCAACAGAGTGGACACGGGACTTGAAGGTTAGACTCCGAGAGGCAGGAAACATGAGCTGTGAAAACCTTAGCTCACCTCCTGGAGCCCTGGGTGCTGCTAAGCTGCAGAGATGGAGCCGAGAGCCCAAGAAGACTACGGGGAGAGAGTCTGCAGACAGCGACCCGGGAAGAGCACGGCACAGAGAGGAAGCTGAAGAACGCGAAGGGCGCTGCATGGGTATTCAACCGAGTAACACACAGGTGGACATTACCGGAGGCCGCGGCCAGGGAAGGCGCCACCAGGAAAGGTAACAGGTGAGGGTAGCAGGGCTTGGAGCATGGCATCTGCTCCCACAGCCAGCAGGGAAAATCTCACAATGCACAGAGTGTTTGGTAGAGTTCTCCGAATGGTCTTGCCTTAGCAGTGGGGATCAATTTACCCTAAATTAAACGCTATTCCAGTGCTACCTAAGAAAATCGGGACCCCACAGGATCAAACTGTTTCCAACTAGCTTAGACATCTGCTGGAACAATGCTCAAGACTTTCAAGAATATGACAATACCCAGCACCCAATAAGGTGCAGTGTCAGAATCTAATCAAAATTCACCAGGCATGCAAAGAGGCAGGAAAAGTCGATCCATAATAAGGAGAAAAATAAGTTGAAAAGCTTTCTAATCTAAATTATGTTTTCTGACAATAACTTGAATTAAATCAGAAATCAGTATTAGAGGGCTGGGGATTTAGCTCAGTGGTGCCGCCACCCGTCTCACAAGCACAAGATCCTGAGTTTGATCCTTGGCACCAAAAAAAAAAAAAATTAAAAATTAAATAAAAAAATAAAAATATAAAGGGGCTAGCTATGTGGTTTAGGGATTGAGCAAGTGCTGTGTATACCACAGCTCTGGGTTTGATCCCCATTACTGCAAGAAGAGTAAAATTAAGCCAGAAGTAAAAGAAAAGAAATAACAAAGATCAAAGTAAAATCAAAAGCTACTTCTTTGAGGTCAATAAAGTTGATTTGTCTTTTTTAGCCAAACTGATCAGGAAGAAAAGAGAACAGATACAAGTTACCAGTATGAAGAATGAACATCATAGCCGGGCTATGGATTCTACGGACGGTAAGGATAAGACAGAAATGTTATGAACTCTGTCGATAAATTATACAACTTAGTGAAATGAACAAATGCCTTTAAGACACAAAACTACCAAAGCTCACCCAAAAAGCAACAAGTGGAAAAGCCCTATACCTATTAAAAGAAATTGAATTTGTAGTTAAATTGCTCACAGAGAAAGCTCCAGGCCCAAACAACTTCACTTTATAGTTTCTATAAAACTTCTAGAGGAAACAGAGGAGACCTTTGTGACAGATTAGGCAAGGTGACAGGATTACTCCTTGTCTGAGGATGTGGGGGAAGAGGCAGGGAGGGGTTTAAGGAAGGGATTACCAAGGTACCTGAGGGAACTTGGGGATTAAAAATTTGTACACCACGTTTACATCAAAAGAGCGGCTGTTAGCCCCATTACTGGACACTGTGCTGTCTCTGACTAGAAATAAAGGTGTGATACAATCTCTGTGTTGGGCATCTTTAACTACATTTAAGCCTACTCTTTTCTCCTTAAGCAAGAAGTTCCCCTCCTCCCAGCCACCTCTGTAGCCCGTTTTTTTACCAACACACTTCCTTCCCAGGAAGAGACAAGTAGATTCTCTTTTTTCTCTCATTTCTGCCCATGGTTTCCCCACCCCAACTTCTACAGAACTGAAAGGATCCTCCTGAGCTCTGTCTGCCCCTCTATGGGGTGGAGCTGGTCTCTCCCTCATCTTGTACGGCTTTGGGGGACAGCACTGGTGGGCAGAGCCTTTCCTGATGAGCACGGGCCATGGTTCTTGTCCACTCTGGGATGCCCTTGGCTAACATCATCTCCCTCTAAGGGTCCCTCACACCAGGCGCAGGGCCCCAAACCTCCCAGGGCCAGGGACTGGTGTCTCTCACCTGCTTCTTGGTGTCCACCTCCAGGATGTCCATCAGGTTGATCATGATGTTTTTGTGTGTCTTCTTGTACTTCCCAACCCGCAGTGAGACGGTGAGCCAGCCAGGGCGCCCAGTGCACATGAAAGTCTTGCTGCCCTGCTCCTTCCATTCTCGAACCTGCAACCAGGGATAGAGGCTGAGCTGGCTCCAACAGGGACCCTCAGAGCAGCTCCTAACCGTGCTTTCAGGGAGAAGGAGCCTCGAAGGACGCCCCCACCCAGCCAGTGGGAGGAACAGGATGATGAAATGGACTTGGAATCTGGTTCCACCCTCTGGTATCTCCCTGACTGGCAAGGCTGATAACAAAGCCAACACGTTGCTAAACCACCAGGAAAGAAGGAGAAAGAGCTGGAAGACAGGATCAGTGTTTCACAAACATTACCTGGGAAGTTCAGGCAAGGTTCTGGAATGCTAACAAGGTGACAATATAAAATTATTACCATTTATTGGGTGCCCCCACCACACCAGGCACCTGTTGTGCAATGTCTTGTTCATCTTTATAACAACTCCTGGAGGTAGGGATGATCACTTTGCAGATGAGGAAACTCAGAGGCAACAAGTTGCCCAAGACCACATGAGCAGCAACTAGCTGAGCCAGATGCACAGCCAGGACTGACTGCAGGCCCAGGAGGACAGCTGAGCTTGTAGTAATGGTCCACAGGACAGCTAACACTTACTGATACTTACTCCATGTCAAGACCTGTCCTAAGCAGTAGCCTGTGTGCATTCATGGACATTTTGCTACGGACAGAAGAGGAAGGACCAGGAAGCCAATGGAAAGGAGGGCTCTGGCAAAACTTTGAATATAAGTGAGCAGAGCACAAAAACAAGGGGATGACAAGCCATCAGGGACACAGGTGTTCCATTCCTGCTGAAATGGACACTTTCCAGGGAGGGAGGTATTTGTTGTTTTAATCTGCAATCATTTCTTTTTTATCCAGCTTTTTGGGTATCAAACTCAGGGCCTTGTGTTTGTCAGGCAGGTGCTGCATCCCTGAGCTATATCCCGGTTCTCTTTTTCATCTGCTTTTAATAACCCTGTCTTCCTTGGCCCAGGTGTGATTTATCCTACTGCACCCCAGGAGGTAGGCATATGACAGGGGTCTGATTCTATCTTCCTGGTCATAATATAGGATCAGATTGGTTCTAGGAAAGATCCTCTCTCTTTACAGGATGTTTTAAGCCAAAACCTGTTGAGGGTTCCACAGACAGCCTCCCAGAAAATGAAGTCAACCCAGGGGTAAACAGAGCCAAGACACAGCAGATGGATGGAAAGATGGAGAGGGGAAAGGGAATTCTGGATATGGCCGTGCCTAAGCTATTTTTACTCCTAGACTCCTTACGATGTGAGCCAGTAAAGCTCCTTTTTGTTCAAGCCACTTTAAATTGAGTTTTTATCACTTGTAACCAAGAGTCCTGTTAAATCCTGGTCAGGTTTCCTGGGGGAAGCGGCGGTGGAGCCAGTTCAGCAAAGACCTCAACAATGGGAAGGGCTTTCTCGCAATCAAAGGCTGGGGTTGCCAAATGAAGTAGAGGTGATCGGGGGTACTGAGAAAGGGATTCCCATGAATTGGAGGTAAAAGGATGAGAAGTAGGGACACCACAACCAATCGGGCCCGGCCTTGCCCAGCTCTACAGTCCAGAACTTAATCCAAGTCCAGGGGTGTGTGCACTGGGTTATAGGTGCTGCAGTGAGGCCGGTTGGTTTGGATTCTGACGGGAATTAAGCAAGATTCTGGGTGGGGAGGCAATGCCTAAAAAAACCACTCTTGGCACTTGGCACACACTAAAGAGAACAGGGAGCAGAAAAAAGTGCCACTGGTCAGGCAGCTGGGGAAGCAAGTCAGGTGTCAGGCAACAGAATCTGACTTACAGACTTGGAAAGGATGGGAACAAAAAAATGCCAAGTGCTCAGGCTGTGACCTCAAGCTAACCAGGGGTTCCAGCCCCATTTACTAGTTCCAACATCCTGCAACACGACTCACAGTTTGAATCTCAATTTTTCCCACTAGTAAAACAGGTGCAAGACCCACAAGCATTGCTGCGACGATTATAAATAATGGACAGCAATGGCACTGGCTGTGGGACATAGCAGGGCCAGGGCAGAGGGCTGGTCCTCTGGGTCCCCTTGTTTTCTGTCTACAGAGAGCCCTTCTGTTTAGTGTGGATTAATAAGTATTCACTATGCTGCTTCAAGGTAACAGTCCTGCTTTCTAGGAGCTCACAGTCTGATCAGGGAGACCGGCAGGTAAATTGAGAATCTGAATTCTCAGAACTGGGAAAGACTGTGCCGCTGGGGAGAAGGCAGGTAGAGCTCTGGAGCTGGATTGTGAGCAGCAAAACCCGGAGCAGCAGTGCAAAGCACTTCCGGATGCTGCCCCTCTTGCCCCTGGCCCACGGTCTTATCCCTCAGGGGAAACTCTTCGGCATCCTCTTCAGGCTCCTGCCAGGTGGGAGCCATCAGAACAGGGGTAGCAGGAAACAGAAGCTCTCAGCAACCTGATGCCAGTTAAAAGAGGAACATAAGGAGGAGCAGAAGGAGCCAAGACACTGCCCAGGCCGGAAGCCCACGCCAGACCCAGCCTGGGAGCCGCAGCAGGGTCCCAGGTAGGCTTCGTGGAGGGTGGCATAAGAGAGGCTGTCCAGCTACAGGCGACGGAGTACCGCCTTTGTCAGGAGCGAGCCCTACCTCCCCAGAGGCCGGCTCTGGGGCGGTTGGGGGCTGGACTCTACCTTCTCGCTTTACTTCCTTCATCTAAAAAAGCGCCCAAAGCACCTTGCTGCTACAAAATCAACTTTAACCTTGAACTTGGCCTCAGGGCTCCTCTCCAACCCGGCTCCAAAGGCCATCAGTCCTCCTCCCCGGGCGGTGCCTGGACTTTCCCCTTCCCACGCCAGGGGCCGCACCCGACTCCCGCGCCCGGACCGCTAGCTTCCCAGCTCCACCTGCCGGGACCCCGGGAGCCCTGCTTCCTCCGCAGGCTCGGGCCTGGCCGCCGCGCACCTGCGCCCCTCTGCGGGCTCTCTGGCTCCTTCCCAGGGTCTCACTGCTTGGACCTCGGGCCCGGCCCCGCGCCCACCTGCTTCTGGATGTCCCGCACGCGCTGGCTGTGCAGGCGCGGCGCGCTGCTCAGCCGGAACACCACCCAGGCGCGCAGGTAGTAGTAGATGTCGAAGATGAGCGACAGCGGCAGCAGGAAGAGGCACACGAACACCCAGCGCTGGTGGATGAGCACGAACTCCAGCCCCTTCACGCGGACCCACAGCAGGAAGAGCAGCGCGCACACCGCCAGCGACACGGCGGGCTCCATTGTGCCGGGCACCGCGCGAGGACGGCAAAGGCTCCTGTCGCTGCCACCGAGATGGCCCGGGCCCCGCTCTGCTCGGCGCTCACCGCAGCCGCCGCCGCCGCCGCCTAAGGAGCCGCGGGGGTCCCCCGCCGCCCCGCGATTGGTTTGGGTCGCCGAGGTTCGGTGGGCCGAGACCCGGGCGGCGACCAATGGCGAGCCGCGCCGGGGATCGGACCAGGAACCCGCCTCTCTCATTGGCTGTGGGAGCCAGGGCGCTCCACCCTCTTCTCGCAGACACGCGGGTGGGGGGCTGGTGGGGTCGGGCGCGCGAGCTGGGGCTGTTTTCCCGCGCTGGGGCTGCGCTGCGACCCTTTCTCCTCGGTGGCGCCTCCTGCAGCCGCGAGCTTAGTGGTGACGCGTGCGCTCACCCCGCGAGGGTGGGGGACGCCCCAGGCCCAGAGTGACCCCCGCAACTCCGCAGTCCCCAGGCCTGGCCCGCCGCTGACCGCGGCGCTCGGTGCCCACAGGCCGGGAGGGCACCCTTTCGTTTCTCCTGGTTTCCCCTTAAATTCCTTTGCTAGAGCAGGGAGCCCCCCTTTCTCCAGGAGGAAGCGCCCAGAACGATAGAAACCTGCTGGAACCCCGAAGCACTTGGAATGCACTAGGCTGTGCCTGCTGGCACCTCTCCGCCCTGGCGAGGCTGCTGCGGAGGCTGGGAGTGAAGGAATCAGGCCAGCCAAGCTCGCGGTTGGCCCTGGGGTGAGGTGGTAAACAGAGGAGTTGGCCCTGCCCTGTTCCGTCTTCGCTGCCGGTCTCAGCCGCCCCGTGCACAGCCGGAGCTTAGGTCCAGGGCTTTTTACATTTCGTCTGAAATCGTAGTGGGTTTTCGAGATGTTTTGTCTCAGAAGCCAAACCCTTCTCTGTGACCTTGCCTGCCCCTCCAGTCCCTCTCTGCCCGGACCTGCACTCAGGAGAGCCTAGTCCTAGACCCACATTTCACAATTCAGCACTTGTGGTTAACCTGCACCCCAGAATGCCTTTCCCAAGCCCGGCACAGAGCTAATCCTGCAACCCCTGGAAGGCAGCTCAGGCCCCTCCAAAACTCCGTTGATGGTGCTTGCCTCCCTGTCAGGTGCTCATGTCATAGCGTGCATTTTGTGTTATATTGTGGTTGTGCGTCTCTCAACTGGGTAGACTGAGCTTCAGGACAAACAGCATCTTGTTCATATTTGTATCTCCAACCTCTAGCGCAGTGCGGGGGGCACCACATGCACACCGGTGTGTGTTGACCAGTGGCTGAATGAAGAGCCTATGATCAGTGGGAGAGGCGATTTACATTGGATTTTAAAAGAGACTACTGTAGATGTGTACTGTCTTCCACCCCAGTTGTAACTGCCTGTATGTGCTAGCCCAATATAAAGTATGCTAGATATCATAAAAGTGAGTGCAAAATAGCATTAATAGCTATCATATTAATTACATATTGTGATGATAATATTTTGATATGTTGAGTTAAATGAAATATGGTATGAAAATTATTTTCACCAGAGCTGGTGGTGAAGTTTGTCTAGCAAATGAGGAAACGCTGGGTTCAATCCCAGCATCCCATACAAAAAAGCGCAAACAAAACTTCTATTTGCTTTTTAAGGCAGCTCCTAGAAAATCACAAATTACAGATTTGTCTTGAATTATGTCTCTAGAAGCTGCAAGAAAGAGGGGAATGAGCTAATGTCAAAAATACTTCTTCCCTGGGCGTGTCTGAAGTTAGTTGCTGAGACCAGTGTTCTGCTTTGGAAGTTTAGTGCTCTGGTTAAAACTGGGGTTGAGGTAATCTGGAAAGTAAAGGTCAAATTAACGGATGTTGAGAGTTTTGTAGGAGAAATTACTGGCTAACTGGGATGGTTTTGAGTTAATTAGAAACCACCAAGGGCCCAAAGGGCAGGTGCACTCCTGGGCCATAACTGAGGACCTGTTACTCCCTGAAAGTGTAGTGAAAGTGTAGCATGTCTCCTCTCCACCCTGTCACACTCTTAAAGAGTCTTGTGGACCTTAATAAGCCAAGGTGCCCTCAGTGTCTCCAAGAATAAACTAGCTCAGAAAATACACTTTTGGGGATCATCACAGAGAGACAGGACCAACTGCTGGGCTGGTACCCGCGTAAAACATGATGTGTGTTCCCTTCTGAGGCAAACAGGGACTTAAAAACTCCATTGGTTAAAAATTGTGACTCTTCACTTGGGCCTAAAGCGTGGCATCTCTGCCTTTATTTTTTTATGCCTTTTTTTGTCACTTTAAAACTTTAAGTGAGACCCCGCTAGACCTGCATATAGACATGTTAATCATTTAAAGAGTGTCTGTCTAAAAACTGGATGCAAAGTTTATCAGCCCTAAGTTGATGTAACCTGTCTCATCCTATTCAAGACTGAGGACACCAAAATTAAGAGATTTACAGTGACATTCAGCTGCCAGTGTTTTCAGTGTTCTACTCAATCCCCTGAAGTGAGCACCTAAATGACTCCAGTCATTGCCCCAAACTTTCAATCACTTCAGATTCCAGCAGAGCCTCTGCAAAGTTGAGACTGGCCCAAACACAAACTATAAATCCTGGGAAACAGATTGGCCCCTTAAGTTGTAAAAACTCCAGAGCTTAGAGCTGCAGAAACCAAAACAGATAATGATCATCCCAACCCTAGCCACTCAGCAGCCCTGTAAAACCTTGCCTTT